ACTTTTTTTACATTAAGTTTATTCGCGGACGTTACAGCTCGGACCCATCAATAGCGCCTGGTTGTCCGTCCGAGGATTGGAAGCACGTCCTCTGTGAGTGTCCACTTTATTCTGACCTTCGAAATTTGGATGCGATGGGAATTAGAGTGGAGGGGGACGGCTTCGTTTTTCGCCATACTTTTTCAGGAACCTCTGGAAAGCCGTTGCGATGAATTGCTTGTCATTGTCGGAGTGTAATATTTCCGGAACTCCAAATATGTGGAACACGTCTCGTTCCAAGTATCGGATAACTCCCTCGGCACTAGCCTTTCTCATTGGCTTGAGCAGCAAGAACTTGGCGAAGTGGCCCAAGCAGACAAATATGCAGATGTTGCCGTCTCTGGTTCTCGGGTACGGCCCCATGAAATCCACATATATCCGCTGGAACGGCCTCTCAGTGGTTTGCTGCTTCCCCATCGGTGGTCTTTGGGTCCTTCCCGTTTTGCTACAGCAGCACACCTCGCAACTTCCAACCAAGTCCTTCACTTCCGTTACCATCCCGGGCCAGTAATACTTTTCTCTTAATCGTTGTAAGGTCTTGTGTATCCCCCCGTGCCCGCAGATGGTGACGCATGAGCTCCTGACACTAGTCGAGGCCGAAGTTCTCTTGGTACCCACAGTTTCCACGCACTGTCGTCTGCGACCTCGTCTCCCGTGTTGAAGTCTAGCCTCTTGTATACTAGCCCATCAGACACGCAGACGTCTGGGATATTGGCTGCATTATCCTCTACGGACTGTTTTAGTTGGACATACTGTTCTGCCGCAAAGTGTGCGGAACTCAAGTCTACATCCAATCGGCGATCGCTGATCTCCATGATCTCATCTAGGTCCATACGTGAGAGAGTGTCCGGCTCTATGTTTTGCGCCCCTTTACGTTGCTCAATTGTGAAATTCAGCGCCTGGAGTTTAAGGCTCCACCTCGCTAATCGACTGTAACGTCCGCGAATAAACTTGGGGTAAGTAGGCCGGTCGGTCCGTGTCAGCCTAAAGTATTGCAATAATGGCATCTCGTTATGCAAAATCGCATGATTTTGCGGTATACTGTCCTTTTTTGCAAAAGTAGCGGCGAGCCGCTATACAGCAACATAAAGAAAAAGAAAAAAAGGGAAAAAGATCATGCGAAGAGTACAGGCAGTCTGAGTTTGGTTGCCTAAAGTAAATGACTAACGCAGTGTGCGGACTACGCGAAATTTTTATTGCAATTAGATAAATATGTGTAAAAGGGATTGCGATTAACTTCAACTTTATTTAATAAATAAAAAAATTTAAATGTTTTGCAACACAGAGCAGTGAATCTAAATAGCAAACGAAATATTGAATTAAAGAAAAAAAAGGAGAATCTTAGTAAAAGGCGTGCTCAAAAAGTTTCATTTATATATCATAATAAAAAACAAAAAAAAAAACAAACCAAAGATCAAGCGGACAAACCAGACTTAAAAAAAAATTATTGTAATCAAAATTTAAAGAAAAAAATGAAAATAAAAAAAAAAAATAGATTCGAATTAAAAACCTTCTGTGCGCACACACACACAGTATAAATATAGCAGTAAAAAGAAACAATGGAGAGATTCCTTTAATCCCAAGAGTGTAAATTAAAGATGTACAGAAATACACTGTGAAAATTAAAGATATTAGTTTTGAGGAAGTGTGTGGAAGTGATTTCGTCAGTGAAAAATATGCTCACTCAAGGAATCAAATCTACAAATAGTGTCTAAGAAGGTCGACGGTGACATAAAAGATTCCTCATAATGGTAACAATTGCCTAAGCTAGTAGCACGTCGCAGCAAGGATTTAAATCATACATCTCCATGGTGAACCTTACCAAAGTGTGTTATCGGTCTGTTTATTTTTTTTTTTTGGGTGAGACCTGCATTCATCATGAATAAAAGCCGTACACACACATACAGAAGCAAAGTTTTTTTATCTCAAAATTGAGAACAGAAAAAAAGCTTTTCCTCTTAAAATTGAAAGCAAAAGCAAAGTTTTTCTCTCTTGAAATTGAAAGCAAAAGCAAAGTTTGTTTCTCTTAAAATTGAAAGCAAAAGCAAAGGTTTTTCCTCTTAAAATTGAAAGCAAAA